TTATTGCAAGGTTTCCATATTAAGAAACGCTACCTTAGTATGCGAAGTTTAGCCTGGCAAAGTTTATGTTTATCCTGCCTTTATTATTTTTATAAACAACTCAAGGCAGTGAATGTGCTTAATACTCCTTCCTCCTCCTATTTTTCCCACAGCAAAAAAAACAAAAACCCGTTGAGTGGGTTGAACTAAGGCGGTACTCCTAAGTAGGCTGGACGGTACTTCAGATTCAATCCCCAAAGGGTCTCCAAGAATGCATTTTACTGTGCCAATTGTTTTTTGTGGAGCTTTGGTCCAGGCATATAGGCATATTTGTTTTTAATCATTATGAAGTTTGTTATATTTGTTGTTAGGCACCCAGAGTTGCATTTTTATGGGGCACCTATATAAATTTATTGAATGAATGAATGAATGAAGTGAGTGAATGAAGTGAGTGAATGAATGGAGTGGGTGAGTGAGTGAGTGAATGAATCAATAAACATGCACAGGGATGGATGTGGTGCGAATGTAGCATTTGTCTACAGTGCCTTCAAGCAGCTGCATCTTTTTCACACAATCACATGGCTGCTGTATCCCGAGTACATTTACAAGAGAGCGAACCTTTCTGAAATCAATCAGACTTACTATTTCTCAGCCTAATTTCAAAATCCTTTTGCAAGGGACTTTGGCAGGAGTGATCGATCCTTCCCTCAGCATGTATGGGGATGAGAAAGAAAAAAAGAGAGAGAGAAGAGGATGTCAGAAGGAAAAAAAGAAAGATGTTAAAGAGAGAGAATAGATTGTACCCACCCCAAAATGCTTCAGCCTCTCCCATCAATAGATGATCATCGAGAACCAAGAGGATGTGGGCTGATGTGCAGAAGGAAAGAACATCATTATGTACCAGAGAACCTCTCTTTATAAGTATGACTCCGGTATACCAATTGAGGTCTCACCAGTTCCGTTTTATACACATTAAAAACACGCTTTACTCAGTCAATTCCAACATAATTTTATCATTTAAAATATGCTAGGAGGATGTTATTTTCGAAGTAATTTTTTCCACTAATCTCTTAATTGTGGAGCCTACAGTAAAAAGCCTTTCTGTATGAATGCGAAGGATTAGATTGAGCCCCCTTAAAAGCCTCAGCACACTGAACAAAGTGTGCAGAATATGTTTAATTTTCCTGTTAGGATTTTGAGGTGTATGGTATATTCCCATAAATATGGAAGAGTAGGAGCTAATCTGAAAATCAGAGATGCCCTATGGTTAAAAAAAAAAAAGCAAATGTGTTTTGCAATGACATTTCATGAGGTAAAAAATTAACACCCACATCACAGAATGTAACTGCAGTGCTGGAAATTCCACAGCAACCACAATCCTGACTGTTGTCTAGAAGAAAAAAGGAACATTCTGTGGCAAATAACACTGCTTCTTTGTTCAAAGGTATGAGATTCTCCCCACCCCCAGTGACAGAGATGATAAATAAATACAGCAAGTATGATGAATGACTATCATATGCTAAATAGCAGAAAATGTTAGCTTTCTGATTAAACGAGAAAAAAACAGAATCTCTCAGGCCAAGCTTTAACATCGTTTCTGATAGATAGCAGCTATATTTCAAAATACTTACTTTGACAGCTGTGTACTTTAAACTGCTTTATTTCTCTTTAAGTTTCTTTTTTTTTCCAGAAGAGAGAGAGAAGAAACAAAACCTCAACTTATAGTCGTGAAAGTGCACTGAAAACAAGGCTTTTTCAAACACCAAAGAAAAACTACGGTAGAATATTCTAGCAGAAAAAATAGAAGCTTTAATCAAACTATATTTTGAATCATATGGCATTTATATTAAATGCATTTTAATTTAATGAGAACCTTTAATAAAATGAGATTGTTTTCTTAAGAGCAAAGTTCATCTGCTTTCTTTTAATACCCTTCATTAGTTCTAAACAAATACAGCTTCATGCAGTGTTGTAAGACTTAAATGATTTCCTGGGGCCAAAATCAACGTTAACCACATACAATGATCAGTGGAATCCTGGTGGGGGAGATATTTTAAATTAAAAAAATAAACAAAAAAGATCATGGCCCCAACCTGTTGATTAAAACTACACCCCTTTCAAAAGTGTAATTTGTGATTGTGATTGCCACTATGATCTTTTATTTTTTCTTTAGTTACACCCCCCACTCACGAAACACCTTATCAAGGGTTTAGATTATATTTGAACAACAACTGGATATCCATAGATCTCTTTCTCTGAAGAATTATAAAATTGATCTTGAATCACAAATGACATTATCAAGCTGAATTTTTTTTCCCCAAAGCAAGATATAAGAGCATAAGAATTTTCTGGTCAAGAGCTGCCTTTGACCGTGCTGTACCATGCTGGGGACTGTATGCAGCACCAAAAAAATACAGTAAGTAGCATATCAGAAAGACTGGTTTTGATTTAATATATTAAATTAAGTATAGAGAGTTGTAGTATTTAAAAGTTAGAATGAAAACTGGGAAGACTTGGATTTTAATCCCACCTTCAGCCATAGAGGCTGCTGGATGACTTAGGCCCAATTATTATCTCTAACAACAAAACAGGTCATGCAGTACCTCCTGATAGTCAGTGTAAATGAAAAATACATAGGATATTCATTGTCCTGGCTGAAGGGGAGAGGGCCATGTCAGGGAGAATAAAGAGACATTCTAGCTTAGAGTCCGTTCAGGGGAGCAAATGTCTGAGATCAAATCCTTAGGTCTATATCCGCCATTTTCCAAGAGAATGAAGATAGTCTAGCAAGATTTTTGTAATATTGGTGATCAACAATAAACTATCTGTTTGGGTCTATCCATGAGTGGTGCTGGTTGCTTGCACCAGATATACACTGTATAAATATAGAGAAATTCCCCTCTTCTCCAAAAGAAGTATGTGGAAGTAATGAAAAAACCCACACGGTTATGGGGTATACAATAATTTCCCATAATACCTGTATCTCCTTTGAGAGCTTAAAGCAATGGTTCTTAAACTGGGGGTAATTTAGGAATATCCTGAGGTTACACAATTTGTTATTGCTTGTTTGTGAATTAAGGACCCATTTTGGAACAGATATTGCTAAGGTACTTGTGTAAAAAACAGTCTGTTTGGTTTTCTTTTGTTGTTTGTTTGTGTGTTGCTGTTGTTCTCTGAGATTGAGAAAAGGACTAATTGAGTCAAACAATTTAAGAACTACTAGCATAAACGAAGGTGGACTATTTATACCATTTTGATAGTTCAATCCAACAAAGTAAGTATGGGAAAAATAAACTGAAGAAAATGAGATGATTACTATCAGGAGATTCTGGACACAAGGTAGGTTATCAATATAATGAATAAAATTAAATAAAATACAGTTGCTAAGATTGTTCTTTGTGTACTTAATACCCTTCCATTCTTCTGTATTAGAAACTGAAAGCTATACAGAAAATATTGGAGGACACAAGCCTCAATTATACTAAGAGAAATCCCAGATCTCAAGACTCAGGTTTATAGTTAGACAATCGCAACTGCTGTTTTTCTTTGAATGAATTATGAGGAAGACCTGCTAGTAATATATCAAACTTTCATGGAACCGACATGCAAGTATCTCTGCTGTTGATAACTGTAATGAAGAAATATAAGAACTGTTTCTATCAATAGCTAAAGATAAATATTTTTTCCTGACTTAAGGATTAAATTACTCAGTGAATGACTATATGAAGTAAACATTTTAAATCAGTGGTAGACCTGTAATTCTTTTGAAATGAGCAGCTAAAGAAACTCTACTAACTTTATGTATGCAAACACACAGCATGTTATTCCTCTTCCTCAACCCATTCACAGCAAATGTGACAGAATTTGTGACAACTTCTTAACTAACATTGCTGGAATCTGTGTCCTTATTTAAGAATCAGTTCAAGTAAGCAAAAAAACAAAGATAAATATTTCAATTTCCACAGCACTATTGGGTTCTTCTGGTATTGAGTAGCTTTGCCTTCATCTGTATCTTATTACAATGTTTCGCTGACCATCAGAGACCATCTCTCATTTTGTTCTAGTTCAGTCTTTTCCTCTTGATTAGAGCAAGACAGAGCAACCAACTCTATTACTTTCCAAATCTGATACTGATTTTGCCTTGCTTTCGCAACAGCTATCCAACAAGCTTGAATATGAGTTGTGACTGCCTGCTTGAAGCACATCACTTCAATAATTCTCAAACAATAGAAGCATGTCACATGCACGGTTGTAACTCACGTATAGTTTCATGAAACGACATAAAAGTTGACCCAGCTCTATTTATATAACTGCAGTTGTTATAGCTATAATTTTAACCAAGTCAGAACAAACTTTACAAAAGTTTCAGAACGCTGATCCTTGCTATACTTTGTTAGGCCCTTGCTGGCAGAATAGGAATGACATATACTGTGAACAGCATTTCCTTCTGAAACTTTTACAGGATGAGGAGCTGAGGAACTGAGCAAAACTCACTCCTCAGCATTTTGTGTTCATAGTAAGGCCAACAATAGCTCAGAGCAATGATGAACGAGAACAGAGAAGACCTCCTTTGAAAGCTGCCGATGTTGCATTAAGGAAAGCTAAGGATTTACAGTATTTACATTGTTTTAGTTAAGCTTGCATTAACTATCCATCACAAAACCCTCCATGCTTTTAACACAATGTCCTTTCTTGTCATACATCTATCCCTCTTTGAGTCAACAGACCAAAGCTAAAGTAATTGAGCTAGAAAAGGGCAAGAACATTTTTCTTACTCCAGCTCTACCTTCTCAGAGTAAAATACATAGGGCTATAAATGACAAAAATGTTACATTTAAAATGCATTACAAAACAAATCAACAAGACTAATTTTTCCAAAACAGGGGTTATAGGAGTTTATTAATTCACATTCCTAATAACCATTATTATACACTTGTCTATCGATTTTTATAAAAACATTCTATGTAGTTTTTAATAATTCTATAATCAGAACAAGTAGATGACAGAAAGGCTGAACATACCTGAATAAGTGAAACATTGTGTAGACTAAGTCTGAAGAGGTAGTTCCTGTGTGAGCAAGCAGATGAAATTAGAGAAGGTTTAGTTATACAAAATATTTTATTTGAATAAAGAAACACAAATATTATATCATCATAAAGCATGAACATAATTTTCTATAGGCACTAAATCAAACCTAAAGGATCAAACAATTCCAAATATATACTGCTCTATATTAGCTGGTTTTTAAATGAATTCTGTAACATAAATAAAACTCTGAAAGGCTCTATCCTGTTCTATACAAAGTAAAAAGATAAAGATAAAGGTTTCCCCTGTCCAGTCGTATGTGACTCTAGATCAGAGGTAGTCAACCTTGGCTCTTTTATGACTCGTGAACTTCAACTCCCAGAATTCCTGAGCCAGCTGTGCTGGCTCAGGAATTCTGGGAGTTGAAGTCCACGAGTCATAAAAGAGCCAAGGTTGACTACCCCTGCTCTAGATGATGGTGTTCATCTCCGTTTCCTAGCTGGAGGAGCCAGCATTGTCCAAAGATGCTTCTGTGATCATGTGGCTGGCATGACTATATGCACAGAGAAAGCTGTTACCTTCCCACCAAAGGGTACCTATTTATCTATTTGCATTTGCATTGTTTCAAACTGCTATGAGGGTAGGAGCTGGGGCAATTAAAGGGAGTTCACTCCATCACATGGTACTTGGGTCTTGAACAATAAAATCCCGACAATAAATTAAGGTTATCACTATGTATAAAGAACATTTTTCCCTCCAAATACAGCAAATGGGAATTTCTGATGCCTTAAGAAGCATTCCAATTCCATACTAAGAAATTTGTACCCAAGAAACACTGTAGATCTAACTCAGCGGTTAATACTGATCTCCAAGGTTTGATGAGACTATCCATTATTATGATTCGTCATACAGTACAGTCAGCCAGATATTTAAATTGGATTTGGTATTTTTATCCACCAATCAAGTTCTTCCCAAGGCAGAAATTACTTTTAAGTGTTAAAAGTACTGTTGCACGATATAAGCTGTTCCAATGAAAGCTGCCTTTTATAATTGACTAATGGTGATTTTGTCATACCGATGGAATTCAAGTCATGCTCCAAATGTTCTGGGATTGCACTCAGGGGGCCTATTATATTAGTACTGTCTTTGCTTTCTTTTGCCACAGTTGTTCTACTTCTATTTGCAGGTCTTTATATTTTGTGATTTTCTCCATTCTTTCTCCTCTCTTCTGCTATCTCCAGGTACTGGAGATCCACTATCCAAACTTTTTTTTGTCTTTCTTATAGACATTATTATTCTTTAAAGTATTAGTTATTAAATTGTTTTCATATACTATTATTTGGGGGTCTGAAACCTCATGAAGAGGTCAATGAGTTGAAGAGTCTAATTTAACCTGTCTACCAAAAACACAAAATATAGCATTACCATATCACAAATATCAAATATCAGAAAAATTAAAGGGGGGGGAGAGAAGCAAAAGATAATAGCATTCTTCGTGTCACGTACACACAGATGGTCAACATATGAAGTCCGCTCTATTCACTAATAAAATGAATACTAATGACTTGTCACATACAGCTGCTACAGGATATGATTTAAAATGGCTCCAAATATTAAGTATCTCCCATTCATATAAACCACATTATATGTTTGATGTGGAGGATCCACTGTCAGGTTTTCTTAAAAATTAGACAGGCAAAGATGTAAAAAAAAGGGACATCTAATCTGAATCAGGACAGCAGTGCTGGAGAAGAGTGCTAACCTTTTCAACACCATCAATTATTTCACTACCCAGAGCCCAGGCTGCATTTTCTCCCTTCAAAGCAAGTATGAGTTTCTGGAAACAGCATTCAGATGGAAGCCACAGCACAATAGGGTTAAAATGTCTCTACTGCAGATCTGAACCTATTCCTATTACCAAGCTTAAGATGATAAGAAACCCTACCACAAACTGCTTGTTCCATATATTGCTTAATTCTAAAATAATTAACATTTCCTCTGTCTCCCTCTTCCTAATCTTCTTTCTCCTTTTTTTTTCTTTTAATGAGCCAAGCAAACTCTACTTAAGCAAGTGCTGGATACTGTATTACAAAAGAGCATGGCTGTGATTTATGAATCTAACTTTCACCCTTGGGATTTCAAGTTCTGAGCATATTACTTGAATTTAAATTGTGTCTGGGCATGAAGTCAACCCATCCTGCAAACCTCTGTCCAACTGCTGCATCACATAATTAATACACCTCTTTTGAGCACTGTATATTTAAAATATTGTGTTTGTCTGCTTTCGTCAATTTGAAGGTCTAAAAAGGCTTGGCTTCCTCTGACTGATCATATACAACCAGTCTAGGTTAATGATTAAAGTGTTGATCTAAGATTTAAACCGAGACTCACTGATGGAGCCTATTGGCTGACTTTGGGCCAATGATCTATTTTCAGAAATCATTTTTAAAATGTTAAAACTATGTTGGTTTGGGCTGCCTCATTCAATTTTGTTATATTTGCATGGTATGAATGGTCCTGTGGAAACAGTATACTTTCCAGACAAAACCTGGTTTTTTTTTCTTTCTTCAGCTCTTTTATCTGTGCCATTAGAGCTTTAGAAGATAAAAAGGTTCATCTTTTACAGTTTGAATATAAACTGAGGCAGGATTTATTTTCTAACTGAGTCTGGGGTAACAATGCTATATTGTTTCATTTGCTTTTTGGAATAATCTATTTATTTCTGCAAGGGTCAATCAATAGCGGATCTCAGCCCTTAACAAAATGAAACCAGAATATATCAAGTGGAACAATTTTATTCCAAGCCAAAAAACAACTCCTTTTTTTTGTTTCTTGTATTCTCCGAGTTAAACCATGGCTTGAAGTTATTTCTTCTGTTTCTTGTATTCTCAGAGTTAAAACACATCTTACCATGCTGTATGAACTTAACCAATAAATAATTGGTTACTTTAATAGCTTTTTAAAAAAGGAAATTTCAGCATGGTTTATATATTACTGTACAACAAAATCTGAATGACTGCTCTGGAACAGATTAGAAACAACTCCAAGTCACATATGTGAACTAGTCAGCATGCATGCACTCATACAACTGTGTGTCAGTATATAATCTGATTACCCAACTGTAGTATCAGTGTCCTTTCAGCTTTTCTAAGGCATTTGGTTATACATGTGGAAGTTTTTGCCATTACTGTCGAAGCTATATTTTCATTATTATTCAACGTACATTCTCTTCTTTTTATGTGCAATCTAGGAGCCTATTTTAGTCAACTTACTATACCTTTAGGTTTGAGCTTTAATTCCAATTCATCCATGCATTTTCCATACTCCTATGTCTTGCAAAAAAAATACTATCCTGCATAAAGTATCAAGCAAATAATATACCTTTCTTAGGAGCCTCAGGTCCTATAAGCCTCAGGTCCCAGCTCACTCTGAGAAGGCCACAACAAAAGGTTTAGCAGCTTTGCCTTCCCATTCTTGTTAAGAATGCTATTTAAATGCATTGGGTTTGGATAACTCATAAGAAAAATTTGGCACTAGCAATAGCCCACCTCCTAGAAACACTGCATATTTTGACTGAATAAATAATTCTAATATTTAAGCTAATTCTTTCAAGGCTATCGGATGGAGTTTTCTAACCTGCTATCTTGAGAGCCAAACCTGAAACGTCTTTCAAGAGCTGAGACCAAGTTAAGACTGGATCTCCTGGCAAGAGGGGGCGTGTCAAGTTTGGCTACTTGGTCTCAAGAGCAGGCAGACAAAGAAAACCCATTGGTGGATTCTCCATCTCCTGTACTGGAGAACTAATAAAATATCAATATGGGATAGCATATCAATTATAGCATATCTATTTCTGAATGAAATAGAGAACACATTTGCATTAACGTAGTATGTATTTTCAGCTCTAAACATTGTTGTGATTCTTCACCAAATTTGTAGGGAAATCTGGATTCATGTTTACAGGGGACCGATGCCAAAACTTATGCAAACACCACACACAGACACACACACACACACACAAAACTTCCTCTGCCATGCCATCCAACACTATCTCAAAATCCAGTTATAAGATAAAGGAAACCATGTGTAATGCTTCTAAAAGCATGCAGAAACTATGTATATTTATAGGGTTAGTGCTGGAATTCTACCTTGTAAAATTGGAGATGAAAATTGTATCAACCAATGATACTTTATCTAGAATGTCTTTTTGCAGGGATGCCATTACATTTCATAACTGGCTCATCTGAGATCTTCCATACATCTGGAAGCCTGCCAATATTTTATTTATATTAACATGGGTTATTTATATGTTCCTTCACCAGATCATTCTGAGTGGTGTAGATCTGTAAAACATTCAATAAAACTATTAACGACTATAAGTAGTCCTCAATTTATGACCACAATTGGGATTGTTAGGTGAAGCACACCCAATTTTATGACATTTTTTGCCATGGTCATTAAGCGAATCATGTGGTTATAGTAAGCAAATCACATACTTATTTAGCATATCTGATTTTTCCTTTCGACTTTGCTTGTCAGAAGCTCCTGGGAAGGTCATAAAAGGCAATCACATGACCCTGGGACACTGCAACCACCATAAATGCCAAACACCCAAACTTTCAACACATAACATTGGGGACACCGTGATGTTGCAAGTCACTTTTTAAGTGCCGTCATAACTTCGCTAAAGGAATGATCATAAATCAAGAACTACCAGTACATAGGATTATATCAGGCTGAAAAATCCATCCCCAAATGATTGCTTCCAACAGCTTGGCATCCTCCCTTCAGAAGGCTCTATGGGACATCAGCTGTACACTCACCGAACAGATACTATCAAATTGCACACCTGACAAAGCTGTGATTCTGAGTGTATTATCAGCTGGATTGGATTACAGTCATAAGACTTGGGTCAACATTAATACAATGAAATTATGCTCCTGAACACAAAAATCCCTACTGTAGTTTATTGATTCTAAGAGAAGGCAATATTCTGATTCACAACCCAGCCAAAACTTTCAGGGAATTAAATCAGATAATCCTAC